CAGTGAAAGCTGAGGAAGAGGTGGCTTGCAATCAGAAATGCATAATGGCTTGAATCTCTTCTCAGGAAATTTACCACTTAAGGCTGCCATGTGTTTTTAGCCCCCCTTGGGCACTTTAAAATATTGTTCCCCCAGGGGGACTAGAGATCTTTTTACTTTTTTTTTTTTTAGGAGAAAGTGATTACAGCCAAAGCAATAAAATCCTTCCTCTTTTGCCTAAAAGCAGTGACATGATTACCTATATCCTTAATTTAAATTCCCACTGACAGCTCAGATGCTGCTGCAGCTGGAGGGGATGAGCCGACCTTCACATCTATTGTCAGCCAGAGGCAGAAGGGAATTTTATTGACCAGGGAGGATAATGCGCATTAGGGAAGTCAAGCAGGTCTGCTCTGACCTATTGGAATATAGTGCGGGGTCAAAGGGCACCGGATCTGCGCTGGAAAGCATCCTTAGCTTAAATGCCAGTTGTGTCCCTTTGTGCATTCTACTGTGACACTTGCCTGGTCATCTGTACCTTTGGGGACAGCAGGAGAGTTGCTTTCAGCTGCTCTTTGCCTATTCATGGTTTTAAGAAGAGATTGCTTCCAACCCCCTTGGGGCTACCGCTTGAAAAAAGGAACAACAGCTGATTGCTACATCGTCAGTCCCAGAAATTCCATCTACATGCTTTCAGAGCCTTGGTACAGCAGGCCGCTCCTTAGTTTACTATGTTTGCCTTTAAAAAGGAACCCTCAGAAACCACTCCAGGGAATGTCCAAGGAGCAATCCTGCTCTCATTACACCCCTCCCCCTCCCCTACTAAGCCTCTCTGGAAAGTGTCTCTCCAGGGACACTTGTTCCTGGTAATATCAAGACCCAGTAATGCATGAGACTTCTTGTTTATTTTTTTCCATGCACATGGGGACAGGGACTTGCTCTGAGGTCATTGTAAGTTCATCCAATGTCCTGGGAACTGGCTTCAGGCTGCCTTCCCTATGCCTGCTGTAGCCTCTGTCTACATACTTAATGTTCGTTTCTCATTAGGTAAGCATTGCCAGTAAACCTACTTGACAAGAGAAGAAATGTGACCCATTGTCATAGTTACTTCTATTGCTACGCTAAGATACCATGACCAAGACAGTTTGTGAAAGAAAGCATTGAATTTGGGGCTTATACTTTCAGAAGATTAGAATCCTTGACCATCATAGTAGAAAACATGGCAGCGGCTATGGTATGAGTGCAGTAAATGAGAGCTTGCACCCTGAGACACAAAGGCAAGGCAGACAGAGAGCTTACTCAAAATGGTACAAGGCTTTTTTTTTTGAAACCTCGAAGTCCACCATCAGTGACACACCTCTTCCAACAAGGCCAAACCTCCTAATCCTTCCCAAACAGTTCCACTAGCTGGGGGCCAGTATTCAACTATAAGAGCCTATGGGGGCCATTTTCATTCACAACCACACCAACCAAAGTTGTAATAAGTACTGTTCTGGAAAAATACAACCACTGAGAGAGGAACAGTAGTAATGTGAACCACAGTTCATGCTCTTAGCACTGCTATCTGCCAGGAACCTTCTGGCTCCCTCTGAAGTAGATATCTTGATGTCCTTCCCAGAGTCACTGTTCACAGACAGCACTTCATGTCTTACGTAGTGGCAGTGCTGAGTGTGGACAGTCCATGAAATTCTCATCTGCCTGGAAAGTTACATATCTCTTTATTCCAGGAGCTGTTCAAGCTACTAACTGATCAACTTGAATTACATTTCTGCTGTGGGGTTCTCTGTGGGATCAGGCTAAAGCAATATCACCTGAGATCATGTGTTTACTAAACTTTAATTTCTTGATTTCCTTTATTTCATAATCACCCCATCACACTGCTACTACTGCCCCTCTTTTAAAACCCTCTCCTTAAAATTTCTAGGAGACCAAACTTCAGGCACTTCCCAAAGTCTCCTATATGCCTTTTTATATTGACCCATATTGAGAATTGCATTTTGTCTATGTAACTTCAACATGGGCTCATGTGGCTCCTGTCATGTAACACAAAAACAGCTTCTTTCCCTCCTAGAACTTTAAGAGTTCTTTACAATAGGTTGGGTCTCCTTGGCCAGTTGAGCCACGTGGGTTTGATAAAATGGAGGCATGTGATTGACAATACCAGAGGAAAATGAAAGCAGATGGAGGCCGAGGTGCCAGCAGGAGATGGTTCATGGTGCCATGGAGACTGACAAAGTGATCTGAGATTGCTTACCACTTGCTGGCCTGTCACAGTCATCACAGAACAAAAGAACCTGCAGTCATACATCCTACTGGGATGACTCCAGGAAAATGGCCATCATGGATTGATGGCGTAATTGTCTGTGAACATGAAGCCAGTGATCTCCAGGTGAGGAAGGAGGGGAAAATGGGAAGATTGGGGGAAAGGAGGCTGAGACAGACTACTGGAATCCACCTGGCTTTGACTCTGTCTAGATAGAAGGATAAGTTCATGTAAATGGTGGCCGGCTTTGCATCATTCTTTGCCTAGCAGGTGAGTTTGTGACAGGCCATGGCAGAACAGGCACAGCCGTAACTTTCCAGCATAAGAACCAACTGTTCCAACAGTATTAGCTCCAAGTACAGATGAGAGGAGAATGCTTCCCAAAATTCCACAGTGCTATGACTCTCAGCCAAGAGGATGACTTCCTGCCGCTGGCTCTCCATGAGTCAGCAGATGGTGCCTTTGTTTGTCAGGCAGAAGCAGAGGAGCTTATAGGCCAGAGGTGCCAGAGGAGACTTCAAGTCATAAGCAAAGGATTTAGTGTCCAAGCTTCCTCCCTTTTCTTTCCCCAGGGAGCCAGTTTGGGATGTATCTGAGACTACAGATTGTGGATGGCTATTGAGTTGACTCTTGGTTGTTGGCAATGTTATTACAATTTTAACTAGGAGAGGTTTGACATGGAGCCAGAACAAGGACTCGCCTGGTTTCAGACAGAACAGATTGGGAGGCCAAGACCCTGGGCAAGCACACACTGGGGTGCTCAAACAACTTGGGCAGGTGGGAAGGAGGTCTAGACAAGCAGGTTGTGCTCAGCGGGAGCAGGGAACAATCACACAGGTGTCCCGTGGAACTTGAGTGAGATAGGTTCCGATTGCTGCCACAGAGTGCATGCAGCAAGTCCCTCCAGCAGAGAAGCCATATCAGGGGAAACCACTAATCAGATAACAACAAGTGGTCCTAGGTTTGGATTGAGAATTAATTCACAAGAGGTCAGGAAAAGACAGCACAGAGTTTTGCTTTGCTGTACCAATGCCCTCTTCTTAACTTGGTGTCCTGACTAGTTCAAGGACACAGACAGACTTTACTCCTTAGGTGGGGGTGCTATTCCTAACTCACTCAGAAGATTGCCCTAGTAAAATCCAAACATATCATCACTTATGCTTAAAACTTGGTGATTCTGACACAGATATGGTGACATATGCCTGTGACAGTACTTCAAAGTTGGTATGTATGTATGTATGTATGTATGTATGTATGTATGTATGTATATGCATCACATGTATGCAGTGCCTGTGGAGGACAGGAAAGGGCCTCAGATTTCCTGGAACTGGAGTTTCAGTCAGTTGTAAACTACCATGTGGGTGCTGGGAATCAAGCCTATGTCTTCTGGAAAAGCAGCCAGTGCTCATACCAGCTGAGCCAACTCTCCAGCCCCAGCTCTCTGCTTTCCTAGATGGCATCTTCTTGCTGTGTTTGCAGATGGTGAAAGAGCAAAGGACTTTTCTTAAAGCCTCTTCATAAGGGTGACAGTCCTATTGGCAATGGCTCTTCCCTCACAACCCAATTATTTCTTAAAGGCCTTACCTCCCTACGCTATTGGCAATTAGGTTTCATCATGTGAATTTTAGAAGGACATAAATTTTCAGTCAATAGAAGGCTTTGAATAGGCTTGAGTGGGTGAGTGTGATCAGGCTTACTAAGAGTAAGACTCTGATACTGACTTGTTGAGTAGGACTTAAGTCTTCTGGAGGGAACTTTCCTTTCTTTGTATGTCTGTTAATTTTGGTTGTCAACAAAAGGATGAGAAAAACTCAGGATGATGGATCTAGTCTACCTGCAGAACATACAAACTAATGGAAGAGTGAACCAAACAGATGCTACAAAATGGTGGGATGGGTGCCCAAATCCAGGCTTTAAAAGTCTGCATCATGCTGCATCTATGCACCCGAATCTGCCTGAGGAACTTTATCATCCTCTTTCCAGGATGCCTACCCTTTCTTGTGTTCACTTAGAGATGGCACCAATTTAAGCAGGGTATGATTTGAATAGTTTGTGAAAGATATGAGAGTAGATCTGAAAATCACGGAAAACAGGTCAAAGATTACCACAATGGAAAATATTTAGGCTCTAAGTCAATAATTTTTAACATTTGAAAAATGCATCTTGTCTTTTCTCCATAAGCTAAAACCAATGCGTAGTACTTAGATAAAAAGCACAAATGATCTAGTCAAATCAGGGGTGGGCTCTCATACATCTGTCCACTCTACCACTTCCCTAAGTCAATTACATGCATCCCTACCATTATTTTAATGATGACATTGGATTCCAGGAAATGAGATGTCTTCCCCATGGTCATGCATTTATGGAGCTCTGGATGGAAATCAGGAGTCTGATTCTTGAACCAAAGATGCAGTTTTTCATGTGAAATGCACATTTTCCATTTGGATCATACAAGTGGGATGCTCAGTGTGGACAGATTTTAATATATAGGCACTAGGCATGGGTTAAAAAAACTACAAGGAACCACTAATTTGGAAAAAAACCATTTTTTTAAACATTGCAATATGCCATTCCAATAATACATTTATATATATATATGTGTGTGTGTATGTGTAGGAAACTACACAAGCATTGTTTTATAATACAGTTCTTTCTCTTCATAAGTTCATGTATTTCCTGTGTCATTAATTTTTATGACATCATTCAATTATAAAAAAGGTATCTTGTTATAGTTACTGGATCTCTTGTTAAATTTTTGTCCATTTTTGCAGCTACAAACTGAAGTGCAATTAACTTCTTTGAAAAATGCATCTTTATGCACATCTGGCTTGACCTGATTATGGTAAGTTCCTAGGAGAGAGAGAGAGAACACACACTTATTAGACTTTTTTAATATAACATCTGTCAAATTGACTGGAGTTCTTCTTTATAGCACCAGGGTGCCTTTTTCTTTGAGGCCACTCTGCACTGTATAACCCTTGGGAAGAACAGTGTTCAGTGTTTTGAATACTTCTCAGAAGATCAAACCACAGCAGCATTGGGTTAGAAGGAATTCCAGAAGCCCATGTTTCCACCTCTTTCTCTAGGCAAACAGCAGCGTTTAAATTGAAGGTGAAAAATCGCCAGAAAGTTAACAGCAGCAGAATTTCAAAATGCTGTCATCCAAGAGCCATTCATAACCTCTACTTAGATGACCACATCTCAAGACTGGTGGGGTATCCATGTCAGAACTTTCTTAACTAAGAGAAGGAACCAGATTTGGTGGAAGGATTTTGGAAGGGATGGAAGATTCCAAACACCACTGTTAAGTCCTAGTTTGTATGTTTCTTATTGCCACTGTAGATAATTACTACAAATTCAGGAGCCCAACGTGATAGAAATTTATCTTAAATTTTCAAAGTCTGAAGCAATTCTTAAGGTAAAATCAAGATTTGGCAAGGCTGATTCTTCAGTGGAATATCTACATGGTTTTTTTGTTTGTTTGTTTTTTGTTTTTTGTTTTGGTCTGGCTTTGGAACTGCTGGTACTCTGGCTTCCATAACAATGTCTGAGTCCTGTGTTACTACATTACCTTCTCTTTTTGTAGTCAAGCTGCTCTCTCTATGTTTCCCTTTTACAAGGACACCAGTGATTCTCTTTAGGCCAACCAAAGTCATCTGTAACAGTCTCCCTATGTCTGAGTCCTTCATTTGACCCTACCAGGAGGCCTAGATGCAGGATTGGTTTAAATGTCAAGGAAGCTGTGCCAAGTGAAATACCCTGGTATGCCACATCTGCAGTCCAGATGACAGTAGGGAATTAGAGCAACTTGGAGCAAAGCCAGAGAAGTGGCACTCCTGGAACCCCAGGACCATGGACAGGACTCATTGAGGGCCACCACATAAACATATGGCCAATGCTTGTGAACTTGGAGTCAGCACTTGTGAGACACTGCTAGAACTATATATATTCATGTGCTCACTTGGCTTAGTACATTCTACCTTAGTTATTAAAGCAATCTGGAAGAGGAAAAAGACGACTTCAGAAGGGAACTAGGATTATTACGAAGAGTCCATACAGAATATGGACTTAGGAACCATCTGAGGATTTGAAGCACTTCAACTGTGACAGCATGGTAAGGTCAAGACAGAATGTTGTTGGCTTTCCAGCCATTAACCTTATATCTGCAAGCTGGTGGACCTAGAGCAATGTGGCTGTACAAACATGTCTGGGCAGTGTGACATAAAAGACTGTCCTGACCACAGCACTGCAGGAAAACTGGCGAGGGTGGCCACTCCTTTGTGGAAACTTCTTGCTGATATTGCTTTCCCCCAACCCTCATCTGATCCGCATTGTTTTGAAAAAGGGTAAAATGACTTTCATTTTCTATGAAATGAAAGTATTCTGGTACACCATGTCGAGCTCATCTCTAATATCTCTTCTGATCTTTATTCACTCTGCTAAACTTTTGAAACCCCTATGTGAACAGCATCACATAAGCCTATTTTAATGCAAATGACAGGAAAGTCACTCAGAATGTCTCTAGTGGAGGGAAACCTTGCAAACAGGCTCATGTCTGTGAGATGGAGGAGACTCTCTGCTTTGGTCTAGAGACCAGCCTAGAGGCTTCATTTCTCCCTGTTCCTACAGCCCTGCTCCTCAGTTGGCTTTATCCTCATGTGGCTCTCTTCATTTGACCAGAAATGGCTGTCATGGTCCCAACCTTCAAATCTGGAAACTATTTTCCAAAGAAAATCTCCTAGTAGCTCTTTTTGAGGGTGAAAATCTTTCTGAGTGGCTTCAAGTGTCTATCATTTTAGTCGATCATCATGAATGACCTTCAGTTTCTGAATCAGCATGTAGTCCAAGAATGTACTGTGGCTGGTTCACCCGGGGAAGTACGTGCAGAGCCTAACAGTCAAAGAGAGGTTGAAGGAGTAATAGCACCAGTACCGAGAGTGGCAGCCTCGGGTATACCTCATGTTTATGCAGTCCTTTTATACAGGACGCCAGGTGACTCCTCTGCACACTCAAGTTAGAGGCACTGGTTCCCTTGTTGGAGACAGAAGCTGGGGAGAAGCAGTGCACACCTGCTGCACAAATCTTCCTGTGATGGTGTTAAATTGATTTTGACAGCATTTTTCATAGAGAAGACTGCAAAATGATTTGAACAGTTATCATCTATCACTTTAAATGTTTTCAACGACAAATAAAGAACTTCCAACTCAACGAGTTTACACGAATAAGGGAAAATTATATCTTACAGTACAAAATATTATAAAGTAGGGTGATTCCAGGACTTGTTCACTCTTTTTAGACTCCCTTCCCTTCTGTCAAGACAAAAGTTTTGTTATACAGCCAGTGTGTTCAAGACTAACCTCAAACTCATAATCCTTCTGCCTTACCCTCCTGAATGCTGGGATTACAGGCATGTGACACCATGCCAGAGTAACTTTTCCTTAAAGATTCTCAGTGGCCTCCCTCATATTTCTTGGCCAAGACTAGCATCTATATCTACGTCTAACCTGCTTCTACTAAGATGAAGCATTATCACCTCTTTAGGCATTCAGCATGTGCCTCTAACCATGAGAGGAAAAGTGGACAGCAAAACCAAATCATGTCCTCACCTTTACGGAGGGAAGACCATTGGCATTCAGGGGCCAGCCATAACTGCCTCTGAAGAACTTTTTTTTCCTATTTACGCTTCCTATTTGTCTCAGAATGGCCAAATTGCTTTGAATCTGGTTTGTAGCTCGACCTGAAAATAGTTAATTTTCTTTGCTTATACGTTTGGTATTTTAGAATGAAGCTCGGAAATGTTTTAGGAAGAAAAAGAAAATAGACCAAGACCAGTGGAAATGGATTTTCATAGTCAGAGTTCTGATTGAATGTGACAAAGGGCAGAATAAATAAAGAAGACACTTGACAGAATCCTCTAGATGAAAGGTCTTATTTGGTTTGTGTTTGGGCAGCAGAGTCTCCTTTTCTCAGGCCTGCAGCTGAGGTCCAGGCTGTCTGTATCTACCAGGATCAATACAGATTTTGGCACAATGCTCCGTTAGCCCTGGGGCACACATTTAAATTGTCATAGTCGGTCTGCCTCACAATGACATTCTTCAGTGAGGAAAGCAAGAGTGTGTGGCTGGTGAGGACTATGGCCAAACACTGGTCTGCCACACAAGAAAGTCAAAGGCTTTTTAGCACCTAGACTTGTTTTCCTTCATTAAGGCTAAATAATACCAAGTTCACTCTTGGTTTCCTTAGAACAAGGCCCAGCAGTGGATGAATTAGAAGCCGCTTAATTATGCCTCGTGCTGTGTCAATCCTCTGAGGATGCTAGGACTCGTTAGGGAAGGGTGGACAATCTGAGCCCCCTCTGGCTGCACTCTGTGAATGGGATCTCTTTGGCTTCTGTCTAATAATAAGGCTGCTCTCCGGTGGCCCTTGGATGCCTGCCTTGTGACCCACCAGGCTGTTGTGGTCAGGGCAGTGGGTGGCTTTGCAATGGCTTTATTTGGTTGTTGAATGGATGGTTTCCTCATGATTTCCTTTGTTCTCATTTTATTAGCAATCTCGCTGTGCAGAGGCTTTTGCACAAGTGTGGCCACTGCAAGGAGGAACATTACGGATTTCACCGGGTACAGAATGGTCACTCTGATAGTTCATTCATCTCGGTAGGTTTTATTCTTAAGTCCTTGGTGTTTTCAACAGTCTTAGTTTTTTACAAGACTAAGGTAATTTATAATTTAGGGTCATACAACTGCCAAATTCTTGACTGGGTCCCTAAAGTGTAGTAGCCAATTCAACACTTCTAACTACTATGCAATGATTATCACTAATCTGTGAGCAACTGAAGCCTGAAGAGACTGTGACTTTCTCATGGCCACGTAGCAAGGAGGTGGTAGATGTGGACAGAAAAACCAGGTTTAAGGTGCATTGAAGCTTGTGCTTTTTACTGCCCAGAGTGACAGAAGACTAGGCCCCACCCTCTTCTTTGATATTATTCATGAAGGAAGATGGGCCATGAAGCAGGAGCACAACCCAAGTGCACCTTATTTTTCAATCGGTTTTCTTGGGGGCGAACCAGGAAGCACAGATCTCACCTCTTTATACCCAGGCATCCTTCTAATTCTCCAAGATGAATACTTTTATTTATTAGCTGCTGTAGGCCCAGATGTAAAGGTACCAATTCTCTGTCTCTCTCTGTCTCTGTCTCTGTCTCTGTCTGTCTCTCTCTCTTTCTCACACACACACACCTTACATACACCAAATAAACAAATAACAATAGGGTTCTAGAATCAATAGTAATTGTTACTCTGTGTGTGTGTGTGTGTGTGTGTGTGTGTGTGTGTATGATGACTGTGCACTCAGGGAGGAACATATGAATTATTCACTCAACTTTAATATGTCAGTAACATCTTCAGACACACCCCACATAATATTTAACCAGATAACTGTGCATCCCATAGCCCAATCAAGTTGACACACAAAATTTCCTGTGACAAGTACCCCTGACTGGATGAAGGTAGTGTCAACAAAGAAACAGGTCCCACATCTTTCTTTTTGAAATATAACCCTAACACACCATGTTTATCTTGTAAGACAAATTTTAAATGGTTGCTTATAACACTGGGCAAGGCACTAAACATTTCGTAGTGTTGAAGACAGTGACCACCAAACACTGTGCCAATAGGGTTAAACAAAAGGAGACAGGAAAGAGTTTAGCAAGTATTTAGAAGTGGCAAACACTGTCATCACTATCATAGTTGTTTGCCTCCATTGCAAAGAGCAATGCCAGGTGGATTTCTCATGTAGTGACACTTTTGGGTACATAGATACTGTGTGTTACAACCCTCAAGAAAGGCCTAGTCACTAGATCACTGCACTTTAGGAATGAACCCGGGATTATGCCCACAGGGGGGTGGCGTCTATGAATTTCTACTTTGTACATCAGCTGTCTCTCTAACATCTCTGTTCCTTGGGCCAGTGGCTTTTCTGTTCCCGGCCTACTGCAGCCATCATCATTTCAAGAAACAAATATAAGAATATTCCCCTTCCAGGTAGGTGGGCATAGCTAGCATTTTCCCCAGTGAGTATTTTTAAAGTAGAGATTTGTTTGCCTCATTCAGAACCATTTTACCAGAAAAGGCAGCCTCAGGGAAAATGACTTAAAAGGACATGTGAAAGATGGACTCGGCCTGTCTTTGTGGTAACAGAAATATTGCTGTTATTAATATCATGCACTTAGAGAGCTCTGCCTTCCAAAGGAGCTCAAAGTATTGCTCATATATTATCTCATTGTCCCTTGCCATATGCGAGTGATGGAAAAGACTAGAATAGGAAATCTTCAGGGAAAAAAAGAAGTTCTTTGGATTGAACCTGATCCAGACCAATACCTCACAGGCTGGTAGGGGAAGCTAATGGATCACTTCCCTAGAAGCAAGCAATTTGCAGACAGATGTCACTCAGTGGCAGGTGTGTGAAAGTTGCCCTTGGAGGAAGACACCTGTATCCACATGTGGGGAGGGAGACGATGTGACTTTAGATTCTGCAGCACTCTTCAGGACCCACAGCTGGCTATGCAGCTTCCATGAGAGGCAGATTCCAGTGTTTCTCCCATGCCATTTCAAAGATCTCAACCTCTTGGCCGCTGACCTTATGTCTAAAGGGTATTGGCTCCATGTAGGGTCAGGTAGTGGAGGATGCCTGGTTATGTTCTCTTATTGCCCAGTAATGGAGAATTCTATGCAGTATTACACACATAAGAAGCTAACTGCAAGTTATGACATTCACTTATACTTCACGCCTTCAGCCTTAGTCTAATCTAGAAAATTCCAGTACATATACCCATATTCATTCTAACTGGTACCTGATTGAGTGTGAAGGTAGCAGTGAAAGGGGACAGGCCCACATGTGCATAAATACCATGCTCTCATGCTGATTGGCAGCACAGTGGCGGCACAATCCCATCTTTGCACTAAGAGAAACACATGATTTCCTACACTGCCTTCCCTTCACGATGGTTTATGAGCTATAAGACCCTTTCCTCCTCAAGTTGATTTTGGTTACTGTTTTGTCAAAGCAACAGGAAGCAATCTAGGGTAATAACTACTTACTATCAGATTGGCTATGGGGGGGGAGGAAGAAGGAGAAAGATCAAGGATTTTATAAACTTTGTGAGCTGAGCTGGACAACTAAATAATGTAGATGGTGTTGATGGTCAGGAACCCAATCCCTGCCCTTAAGGAGAGGTAGCTGCTATATTCGTTCTACTTTTACACCTTACTTGGTGATATAAAGTCTCTAAGTAGGATTGGTAGTCTTGCTAAAAGAACATCAAGAGAAAACAACAAGCACATGCTCCTGGGTTGAGGTAGCTCTGGGGCTCAGCAATTTCAAACATAGCAATTACAGTTCTTTCTGTCAGGACTGACCTTTGAGGAAATTGGCTCACTTGTAGAAGGTCAACAGCTCCTGGTCGTGGTACAAGCAAGTTTCAAGCATGGCAATAAAATATAGCCAGGTAACCCATGAAGTCTTTTGCCTCTCCCATCCAGCAGTGACCTGAGGTTCTCTGGTCCTTCTAGAGCACACTGATTACATAACTAGCTCTCATATGTAAGATGGGTGCTGGAAAAGCAGCCTTTACAAGGCAAAGTTGGGTAGACTTTCTACTAGATACTTAAAATGTGTTTCCATTGCAAGTTAGTCTTTGTTCCCAAATGAGTTGATTCCATGGATTATCCACTTTCTTCCAAATCCTAATTAAGGAGTATTATGAAGGGTTGTGATGGCTTACTAAAGTAGGCCAGTGAGTCTATCCACCAAGGAGAACAAATGAGCAATCATATGCTCTTTCAAGATCCCATTTTCCAACTTACACTTTGAAATTTCTGTATTCAATTTTGAAGAACAAAAATCAGCTGTCTTGAGCACTCTTGAGCGACAAGTGTTCTCTGTTGTGATACTCTGTTTTTGGTGGACAATAAGAACCCACGTCCCCAACTCAAACAATAGAAGACAAACTCATGGCTCTACTCTGGGCTTGGATTCCTGCTGGTATGTTCTTCCACTACCTAAAACCAGCCTTGTGTCTGTTCCAGAGAGGTGTTCCTGTGCTCCAAACTGGGAAAGTGTTATATTCTCAGACTAGAGGCTTTGCATCAAGCCATGAGTCAACTGGAAATACCTTTTATACAGCTTATATTTCACTGTTAGGGAAGGGGTGGGGGGGATTTCAACACCTTCTTCTCTTTTTTATTATTTTTAGAATTTTCTTTTTTTAATTTAAATTAGAAACAAGTTTGCTTCACATGTCATTCCTAGCTCCCTCTCCCTCCCCTCCTCCCCACCAACTCCCCACCAACCTCAACAACTCCCTACCACATCCTCCCCTCCCCTCCCCAAGGAGGGTGAGGCCACCAATGGGGGATCTCCAAAGTCTGTCATATCATCCAGGGCAGCACCTAGGCCCTCCCCCCCCCCATGTGTCCAGGCTGAGAGAGCATCTCTCCATGTGGAATAGGCTCCCTAAATCCATTCATAAGCCAGGGATAAGTAGTGATCTACTACCTGAGGCCCCATAGATTGCCGAGGCCTCCTCACTGACACCCACATTCAGGGGGTCTGGAACAGTCCCATGCTGGCCTCTCAGCCATCGGTCTGGGGTCCATGAGCTCCCCCCTTGTTCAAGTCATCTGTTTCTGTGGTTTTCATCCAGTCTTGACCCCTTTGCTCATTACTCCTCTCTCTCTACAACTGGTTTCCAGGAGTTCAGTTCAGTGTTTAGCTGTGGGTGTCTTCCCCTGTTTCCATCAGCCACTGTATGATAGCTCTAGGATGGCATATAAGCTAGTTATCAACCTCATTATCGGGGAAGGTCATTTAAGGTAGCCTCTTCACTATTGCTTAGATTGCCAGTTGGTGTCATGCTTGTAGAACTCTGGAAATCTCACTAGTGCCAGATCTCTCCTCAAACCCATAATGGCTCCCTCTATTATGGTATCTCTATGGTATCTGCTCTTCTCTATTCTTCCCCCAACTCAAACTTCCTGCTCCCCCATGTCCTCCTTTCCACTCTTCTTCTCCCCATCTCTTTCTCCCAGCTCCCTCTCCCCTCCCCACATGCTTCCAATCCCCTCAGGGGATCCTGTCTGGTTCCCCTTCTCTGGGGTACTATGAATATCTCTCCTAGGGTCCACCCTGTTTCCCAGACTCTCTGGTAGTATGGATTGTAGGCTTGTAATCCCCTGCTCCATGTATAAAATCCATATATGAATGAGTACATACCATGTTTGTCTTTTTGTGACTGGGTTACTTCACTCAGGATGGTTTCTTCTAGTGCCATTCATTTGCCTGCAAATTTCTGCTGAGTAGTACTCCATTGTGTGAAAACAATAGAACGAATCAATGAAACAAAGAGTTGGTTCTTTGAGAAAATCAATAAAATAGACAAATATTTATCCAAACTAACTAAAAGGTAGAGAGAACATGCTAATTAGCAAAATCAGAAATGAAAAGGGGGACATAACAATGGACACTGAGGAAATCCAGAGAATCATCAGGTCATACTTTGAAAACCTTACTCTACAAAATTAAAAAATTTAAAGGAAATGGACAATTTCCTGGATAGATATCACTTACCAAAATTAAATCAAGAACAGATAAGCAATTTAAATAGACCTATAACCCCTAATGAAATAGAAGCAGTCATCAAAAGTCTCCCAACCAAAAAAAGTTCAGGACCAGATGGTTTCTGTGTAGAATTCTACCAGAAATTCAAAGAAGAACTAATACCAGTATGCATTAAGCTGTTCCACACAATAGAAGCAGAAGGGCCATTGCCAAACTCTGTTTATGAGGCTACAATTATCTTGGTACCTAAGTCACATAAAGACACAACTAAGAAAGAGAACTACAGACTAATATCCTTCTTGAACATTGAGCAAAAGATACTCAATAAAATACTAGCAAATCGAATTCAAGAACACATCAGAGAAATCATCCACCATGATCAAGCAGGCTTCATCCCAGGGATGCAGGGATGGTTCAACACACAAAAATCTATCAATGCAATCCACCATATAAACAAACTGCAAAAGAAAAACTACATGATCATCTCACTAGATGCTGAAAAAGCCTTTGACAAAATATTTTTTAAATTTTCAACTCTTGCATTCTTAATGTTTGTTTTGTGGTGTGTGATGATACATCTCGATGGTAGAGTCATTGCTTTGTATATATGGCCTTGGTTTTGATTCTCAGTCCTTAAAAAAGAAAGGAAGAAGGGAGGGAGGGAGGGAGGGAGGGAGAGAGAGAGAGAGAGAGAGAGAGAGAGAGAGAGAGAGAGAGATTAGTTCTTTTTGTTAGTATTACTAGCATGTCTCTTTTTTCCTCAGAAAAACATGCTGGTGGCAGAACCAATGCTAAGATGGTGTTCAGATGTTGCCTTCGCACTGTCCTCACATTTATAAAGCTTGGACCTCACAAAGCTCAGGGAAGACCTGCTCACTTCTGAGTCACAAGGTGTATGGATGGCTTGTTCTGTATAATTATGTGGAAACAATGTTAGATGTATTACTTTTCTGGAAATAAAATAAAGATATTCTTCCCAATTGACAAAGCAATCTGTATCCTAGACAATGTTAAACTTTCAGCTCTGATAGCTGTTGGTTGACTGATGCAGATCAAAGGTCCCATGTGAGTGATACATCCACAGGGCTGGAGCTGGTCCAGTGAGAGTCTATTTGGGTTTCCATGCCTGAATTCTAGCTTCACAATGCACTCAATCCCATTTTCAGCAGTAGATTTCTTATGAAAAGTAAGTCTGAAGAAGCACCTTGCCCTGATCACCTGCTAACTCTAATTCAATATACTTCTGAAGACCAGCAGAAGAGGAGGCCTTGATGATTTAAATTGTGTTGCATTCTAGGCAGCTGAAGGCTTACTTTCACAGTCTCAAGGGACCTAAAGTCTTGTTTGTGTAAACAGTCATGAAAACAGAAAAGCAGAAAGTGGAAGTGAATTACCAGAAACCAAATCACACACAAAAAGGTTGCAAGGAATAGTGAATAAAAGAAAAATGTTTCAATCATTCCTAAATAATAAGCTCAGTCAAATTAGAAAAAACATATTTAGAAGACAGTATTTCAAAACTGTACAAAGAGACATTCAGAGAAGAACAAATAAAAGGTTTCTTGTGATTAAAACACAATTACCACACCAGATGTGGTAGCACACACCTCTAATACCAGCACTGAGAAACAGAAGAAATGGAGTTACTACCAGTTCAAGGCTAGCTTGGTCTATAAAGAAAGACTCTGTTTTGGAAACCAAACACCAACAACTATTGCCAAAAAAGTTAAACGATCAGTAAAAAAAATGAAGTCTGATCTATTTCTCAAAAAAGAGAAGAAAAACAGAAGATAGAAAAATGCAAGATAATATATTCAGGGAAAGGAAACATCTGGGAAATGATTACCAAATCAATAAGCTCTTTAGAATGAAGGAAATTGGGGGTGAGAAAGAAATAAATATGGAGAAATTTTCCCAGAACACTAATTCTGGCATCTTCCAGTGCATAAGGACTGACTCCAGAGAATAGAGATCCCTCTATTCTTATGAGTATAGAGCACTGGGGATAAGGGATGGCCTCCAATTCCAGATTTTTAAGTACTGGGGATTGAACCTGGGGCCTTGTGCATGTTAGAAAAATGCTCTAGCACTGAGTTTCTCAACCCTGAAGAAATTAAGTTTTCAATACCTGAAAAGGACATCAAACAATTAGACATATCAAAAAGCAGCACTGGATGCCCTGAGAGAGTGAAGCAAGAAACTTCCAAGTTCTAAGGGAGAATGAAGTCTATGTCTATTCAAGAGAGAGGCAAGAGATCTTTTAAGATAGAAATTCTTAGGAAATGCACATGTCTTTACTAGCAATGTGCAAGTATTAGTCTATGAAACTCCCAGGTATTTGCAAAAAGTCAAGCTATTGCTTGTATTGATGGGCTTCTGCCATAACCTCCTGGAAGTCTGTCCAGGCAGCTTGACTCCCTGTAGCTGCTGGCACGGGCATGCTGCTGTCTTGCGGCCCATAGACTCTCATTACACTGGCTGTTGCCACTGCTATTACCCAGAAAGAACTTTTTATGGTACTTACTTCTGGGTGTATTATTTCCACAGCTCAGTTCCTGAGCAGACAGAGAATTGATGGGTGAATCTTGGGTAACTTGCTCATGGTGTAGAAACAAGAGAGATGAAGAAAATGGACTAAAGACATTTTGAGTGTGCAATGGAAGAAGCTGGGCTACTGGACAAAAAGACTCATCCTGTAGGAATTCCCCGTATAGAGAAAGTTTAGATTCTGACTAGAAAAAAATGGACAAATGTCCTCACAAGATATCTTATGCATACTTAGTGATATATTAAAAAGAAAAAGTGCCAACTAATGAGGACAAAGTGGAAAAACAGGAGAAGGGCTACAGAATTCCAACTGTGAATCGAGAGAAAACGGGATCTATCCTTTAGTGATGAGTGCACTCAGGACATAGGTTGTAAGCCATTACATATATTCCTACCATTGGCTGGGGATCACAAGCAAGTCTTGCAAAGGTAGAAATGTAATCCCAGCACCTTGTTCCAGCTAACAATAAACAACATTTGCATACCCAGATATATTTTTGTCATTGTTTACAGTGTTTTACTTTTCTATTTGTAAATAAGTTCATTATTTTGTGGTTGCAGGACAGAATGTAAGTGTCCTCAACAATGACAATGCAATATGTAGGGATGAGAGACTGGGTTGTTCAGGGCAGGAGACAGGTGGAGAACAAGCCCTTGCAAGAAGGTCATTAATCATCAGTGGGCCAAGAAATGGAAAAGTATTTACGTAGCAAAGAGGAAGGCTCAGGAAGTGTTTGACTTTAACTGTTGCCTGCTGGGAGAAGGGGAACAGCAAGAAGAGTCAGAGCTTTATGTTTTCCATCTGGAAGTTAATAGAAAAACTTCTAAATTTGACAAGACGTGGTGCTGCAAGCTCACTCTACAGCTGCAGGAATAGCCCAGAACAAGTGAATTGACTGACCATTGTTGAGTTTTTCTCCTAGTCTCAGTCCCAGTGGACCAGTTTCTCTCCACCCAATCATGTCCCTGCACTGCTATGAAATAACCACTCTGAGATGTAATATCTATTTATAATTGTTTGGCTATTGGCTTAGGCTTCTTGCTGGCTAGCTCTCTCTTAATTATTAACCCATAGCTATTAATCTGTGTATCTCCTTATCTTACCAGAGAATGGCTGGACGTCCTACCTTCCTGGTAGCTACATGGTGTCTGTTTTTGGTCTTTCTTTTTCCTGCCTCTTTGTTAGGAATTCTCACCCAACTAAACTATGCATGTTTGTTGACCAAAACAGCTTTATTCATCAACCAATAAAAGCAACACATATACTTGCAGCATACGGAAGGACATCCCACATCAGATTGTGGTTGTGATAGCTGTGGGCAGTGAGAATAAAGAGGAGAAAGGAGGGAAGCCTGAGTATTCAAGAGCATGTGCTGAGCCATTTGCATGTGTGTACATGTACACACACCCCCATCTTCAGTTTATGCATCCATAGATTCAACCAGCTATGGATGGAAAAATCAGTGAAGAAAATAAGACTGTGTGGTGAGCATATATAGAACCTTTTGTCACTAATCGCAGACATTACAGTACAACAACTGTGCATATAACACTTGCCTTGTAATTTGTGTACTAACCACAGATTTTTTTTAAGGCACGTAAGAGTATGCAAGTCTATTCTATGCAAATACTATGTACTCATAGAGTGTGGACATAAAGAAGTATTGAAGTCTGTAGATACTGATGTTAACTGTAAAAAACCATTAAAGACAAAAAGTAAGTGTTTTCGTGGAAAAGAACCAAAATAATGTTCTCTTTTGTTTGTTTCATATAGAAAGGAAAAAACTAGATTTTTGATCATTTGAAACAGATTAGAGAATTACTTTTAAAAGAATTTATAATATCTTATCCATAGTCTCGTTATGCTTGCAGTTAAAGAACAATGACTTATCTTAATTTTTACTGAAAATTATGCCCCAAACAGATTATTTTCAAACATTTAAATGTGTAAAATATATGAACTCACTATAAAAAATGAAAACGCAGTCTAGATTTGTGTAGAGCTGTCTCTTGTTGTTTTATTTTGTATTTTTCTGGTATTGCTGCCTGAATTTCAGTTTTAAAAGATATAGGCATAGACCTTAGTAGAGAACTCTGTTTTCCAGCCAAGTACCTTACTTTGACAGAAGCTGTTAAGTTCTACAGTTAATTCTTCTCTCTAGATCAGTGTGTTGCCTAAAAGATGGATCCACACTGATAAGATGGAACAAAGATGATCATTAGCAAAACCCTAACAATGGGGAACAGCTTATTGAATTTGGGTCATTTTGTCTGCCTTATGACACTGTTCCTCTTTACTCTTCTGTACTTGAGTAATCTCTGTTGTGTGCTTGACATGTTTTGTAACTGCATGCAGGTAATTTTAAATCTTTGATTTTGGAAAATTATATATTTATTTAAGAGATGTGGGCGTGCACAGATAGTGTCACTTACCCAAAGTTTCAGTACTGTGCAAGAAACAAAACAGCAGAACCCATCTGACATCTTTGAGTGACACCCCTGCAAGAAAGTAGGATAAGTAGTAAGGTCTACTAGAATAAGGGGCTGTTGAAAACCTGCCCCCAAGATCCACATCATGGATAAAATCAAGGATATAAAGGCACAGAGAAACCAAAGTGCTATGAGAAGACAATGTCGGAGTGGCAGCTTCGGCTGTGATACGCAATGTAATGGCAGCCCAAGGGGACCTTCCTCCCAGTCCCTTTTTGAGTTACCTGCAGTGTTCTGTGGACTGCCATCTAGTTGGCTACTGGTGAGACTTCTTTTGCCCCATGGAACATTTGTTGTCACTAAGAAAGGCCTAACAGGTGTAGACACATTTGATTTTCATGGGACTTTGTAGTCTTTCACTGAATCTCATTTACATTCCACAGTATTAGAGTTAGGAAGGGTTCCAGGTTGCTTGGAAGGGAATTTCCTTTGCAAGGAACCACAAAATATCCTGGTTTATATAAGTTTCCTAGAATATTCCCCTGTGCTTTCCAGTGTTTAATTTTTATACATTGTGTACTGCTTAATATTGGGCTCAAAATTCTTCCTCATCTTTGCAAACATTTGAGAAGCATTAAACACAAAAAGAAGTGTTCTGGGTGGCCTCAGGGATCCTCAGGGTCAACTCTGCTTCACTTAGGCAAGCACACACACCCTTGGTGATTTGTTAGGCAGCTTCCCTCTTTCATTCTCTGATACAGGAAAGGGGTAGAGCTTTCTCCTTTCCTCTGTGAGGAGGAACATGGCCAACAACAGCAACTTCTCACCGACCCTTGACCTCTACCTCATTCTGGTCTCTGTACATCTTGCTAAGAATGGAGTTCTCAGGCTTTCTAAATTTTTTCTTGATCTTTCAATCTCTGCTGCTCCTTCATCTGTCTCCTAAGCAAAAAGAGTTTAGTCTTCTTTGATGCCGAAGCCCGAATCCCTGAACAACACTTGAG